CAGTGTGTGGCTCCCAACTTAGCTCAAGAAGTGTAGAGATAAGAGCTAGGGTCTGCTTTACAGTACTGTGAAACCAGTCTTTGAAGAAAACATTTTTAGGAAGAGGAAAGGCTTTTCTTGAAGGAGAAAAGCAGTTCTTTTGCACAAAGGAGAGGAGACGAGATACCCTTTTGAGGGGTGTCTGCAGCAGTAGGCCCAGAATAAGAAATTTTTTTTTTTTTTCCCCTCAAAACCGGTCTGTTCATTTATGCATAGAAGGTCAGGCACAAGCAGGAAAGGAGGCAGTAGTTTCAGCAAAGCCAAAATAAAAGATAGTCAATTCTTCATTCATCTGTATATTATTTGATTATTTTTTAATATGTATTATGCTGTCTTGTTTTAGTGCTTGGCTTTATAGGATGCTGGGTTTTGTTTTCAGAACTTTTTGCTTCTTAGTTGCTATTGCCTGCAAAATCCTAAAAGATACAGAAACAAAGATTGTATTTTGGTGTTTTAAGAGAGCATTGTATCAAACTGGAACAATTTTGAAAGAGGATTTTTAAAAGTCTCATTTTTTTCAGGACAATTGTCTAAAATACATTCTTTTTACTTTCAAAGTGGGTACATTCAAATGACAAATATTTGCTGTAGGTTATTATTATTAAATGTTTTATCTAGAAACCATATTCTGAAAAACTGAAGTATTAAAATTCTATCTCACTTTGAAAACTAAGATCTAAAAAAGCCAACATTCTACTAGTACATTCTTGAGTCCATTCTCCAGATGAAATTCCAGATGTACAGTTTTTTACATAATCTGTATTTGCTTTTAAATAAAAAGTAGTACTTTATAAAAGTGCAAGTCTTGCAGTTTTCCTGGATCTTCTTGAATAGTCTGATGCATTTGGTTGGACTATATATCTGAAATAAATTACTATATTTTATGAACAAGCTTTCCTATTACAGAGAATCTACTGTGTAAACAAAAGATGTTAAAGCTGAGTGTGCAAACAGCATCTGCATTTTCTTGCCAGACTTGCTCTAATTTGGTTTCCACCTGTGTTTTAAATACACAACTCCCAATGTCCTTATGACACCCCAAGGTTCTGTTCATCTTTGCATTTGTTTCTGAAGACAAAACATCATTTGTTACTGTAAGTCTGCTGAAAGTGCTCATTTAAAAAAAAATTTGGTAAAACTTTACAGAAATGTTTTAGCCTTATACAGTGTCATGTTCTTTAGTAGCCTTGAATGTTTTTTGTTCTCTTTATAAAATATTGCAGTAGGGTAATCTTTTTTCCCCTTAGCGTATTATTTAATGTTACTTCTTTGTTTTTTAATCAGCAAAGGAAAAATGGAAAGCGATTGAACAAGACTCCGGTACACAGGCTGTGAAGAAGCTTAAGACAAATCAAAACAGATCAGATTCCAAGGAAAAGGAACCTCACTACTCTAAATCTCTTACGGTTGCTGCTTTAGGTGGGACTCAAAGCAAGAGCTTTCTGTGCCATCCTGTAACAAAAAACTCTGGTGTTCAGTATAAAAAAAGGAAACCCAGAACTGATCAAATCAAGTGCTCGCAAAGTTTTAGTGTGACTACAGCTGAAAAAGTGAGAAATGTATCTGCAAAATGTGATGCTGAACATTGCAGAAATGCCCTAAACCATTGTAATGGCTTGCTCTGTGCAACAGAAAAGAATCCATTTGTGAGATTAGAGGCGTGTAGTTACATCAATACATTTGTGAAATCTTCAGCTAGTGGAACTACCAGCAGTTATAAATTAAGTGGCTTCTTCCATGTAGCCCAGGATAAAGGAAAGCATGTTTTTCCTGATGCTACTGCAGGACAGAGTGATATGAATTGCAGCACTAGTAGAATGCAAAATGAGACATCACCCATAAAAGGTGGTTTATTGTTTAATAAAGAAAAAACTCAAAATGGAGAAGGGTGTTTTTCATGCTGTCAGAGTGAAAAGAGTAAGTGTTTAAGGGGAAAAAAGTGGAATATTGGTAGAAAGCCTAGAAAAAAGATGAAAATTACTGAGAAATCAGCAGTGCAGAATATTTTCACAGACATGGCTAATGAATACAGTGAGTGTGAGTTACAAACAGAAGCGGCAGTTGCCACGTCGAGCTCCTTTGCAGTCTTGGGACTAAATCATAAAGAAATTACTCTGTCAGCTTCATGCGATCATACATCAAATCTTCATACAGGAAAAAATGCTCACGAAGCACAGAATATATCACTCTGGAGAAAGAATAGCGCAAAATTACTTGCATTTGAAGATGGCTTTAAGAATACTTCTGAGCTCTGTGTAATAGCAAAAGGAGAAAATTCAAACAGTGTGGCACATCATTCTGCTGCCTCAGGTAGCCTGAGAGTGGTAGCTCAGGTCCATGATGTTTCTAATTGTCACAAAAGCAAGACAGATGAAAAATTGAACAAGGTTAATATGAACTTGCAGCAGTTTACCTGTCAAAGAACAGTACCTATGACTGGTAAAAATGTTTGGCCTTTTGAATCTTGTGCCAGGACTTCTGAACGGGTTCATAAAAATCATGGGTCCATCTCAGAAGGAAAAAGACTTTTAAGGGCTGCCTCCGAGCAATCCTCTGATAAAAGCAGTGTTAAAGCTGTAGGAAACAGTGCTGTGACTGGGAAGTTGAGACGGTTGGATTTGCATATGTCATCAGCAGAAATTAACAAAGAATCTCCACGTAAAATGATGGATCCAAATACTGAATGTCTGACTTCACTTGAAACACCAGAATCCTCTTCCTTGGATATTTATGAGGCTTTGAGAATGAGCAATGAAAATGTGGAATCACCAGTTAATATGGATAGAAGTGCCGTGGCTTTTAGCCATGATGATGTGCGAGAAGTTAAAGCAACCTTGAATTTTACAACAAAACAAAAAGAGAAAAATAAAGGAGCTGTAACAAAAAGAAACCTGTCTGTGACAGTCCAGAATGGTACATCTACAGGTAACACAAACAGAATAAACTTCAGCCATAAAGCATCAGTAGTGAACCAGACATTTTCTGATTTAAAGCTAATGAAAGTATTAAACACTGGAAACCTGACAAAATTCAAAATTCCTTTATGCAGAAACAAACCTGAATCCAGGAAATTGGAGTCTTCATTTGAAAGAAAAACCTGTAGTCCACTAGAGCTTCTTGACAGCGCTAGTGTTTCAAGAAGGCAGAAAACAGGTGAAGAGACTTTTTTGGTAAATTTCGAGCAGCAGCCTCTTCCTGTCGCAAGTGATGCTACATCTACAGCTTCCATGAAGAAAAAAGCAGATGAGATCAACAGTAAGGACTTCCAGCATGATGGCTCTGAAAACCTTTCAAATGAGATGTCTGCACTCCCTGAACATTTTTCTTTATATCCGCATCCTTTCCTTGACAGACAACTAGAGTCATGTGTGCCTGATTTCCATGGTACTGAATGTGTACTAAAATCTAATTTTCCTGATCATTCTTGGAATGCAGTTGACCACCCTGTTGCATTAGAAATAAACGATGATAGCAAATCAAGAGGGAACCTTTCACAACACAAAAGTCAAAATTTTCCAGATATTCTTGAAGCTTACGAAGAAGATGTTCTTGTCATTGACGTGATTCAGGATGACCCTGACCTTTTTGGAACCAATAATGAAGAGGAGCTTGCACTTGTAGACTGTGAAAATTGTCCTGTGAAGGCGTCCTATACTAGCATCTGCGTTAAAGACGAAAAGCAGGATCTTAAGCCTGAGTATCCTGTTATCTCAGAAACTAGAGATTCAGTCGATGATAATTTTAGGTATGCATATCACTCTTTTTATTACAATAATCCTAAGTACTTTGTTCTCATATCAGTATACTTTGGTTGTAGTGGTCAGGCTTCCTTACAGAATTTCATTAATTTCTGGGTTGATTTTAAGTGTCAAAATTTGATGGAGGTATGACAGTATTCTGAATGCAAATAAATTAAGTTGTTCTTCTTAAGAACTAGGATAACTTTTGAATTGAAGGAAAATGTAGTCCTAAAGAATTGGTTTAGACCAACTGAAGTGAAACATGAAAGTATAAACAAAGCTAATTAAGAGTAATACTCGTAATATTTTTAAATGTCTGACGATTTGAGATAGCAGATACCCCTTTGAGGGTAGTTTTTTAGTTGTAAAGTGGTATAATACTTAGAAATATTTTTTACTTTCTAGGTGTGGCTTATTCTTTTGCTGGGTCTGTAAGAGTAAATGATTGTCTCTACAGTAGTATTCCATCCTTCCATTCTCCTTCCCTGCTTTTCTCCTGTCCCCAGACATGTGAATAGTTTTCAAATCTGTAATTTGGCTAACACGTTATAGATGTTTATGATCCTGCATCTTCCTTCAGCAAGTTCCTGGTGTAAATTATTAGGCATTAATGTTTTTCAGGGTTTTGAGATGATAAAAGTCACTGAAGAGGGAAGAGGTGTTTAAAGTAGAAACAAACTTTTGTAAAAGAGGTAGTAGTCCTTCGTGGAATAGATTAACTCATCAATTGTCTAGTCTGTTTTTTCTCTAAGCTTTGATACTTGTGTTGGAAAATGAGTTTTAAGATTAAAATTTTTAAACAGTTTTTTAGACGTGAGAATATAAAACTTTCAGATGTTAATAGAATAAAACTTCTGCCAAAAACAAGCCTCTGAATAACGGGGCAAGTCTTTAGTAGGAGCATCAAACTTCTTAAGCAGCTAGGCTGTATCATAGTAAATTTATTAGAATGAGTATTCATTTTGTGTACAGTGTATATTATATGCACTGTAGAACAGAATGAGTATTCGCTGTATATTACCCGAGGGTAATAATGGCTGTTCAGAGGTGGTTTCCAACTGACTGTCCAGACAGCTGTTGCACAGAATGGAAGACCAGAACTTCTGAGCCCTTTACACTCATGTATTGGTTATGGTAGTAAAGTTTGCTATTTATATAAATACTAACAAACTTTTATTGGATCTTGTAAGTACTTTGTAGGGAGGACAAATATTCCCTCTAATTAGTAATGACATTGAGTTAGAGTAACATTATCACGCCATTAGATAGATGAAAACTGTACTGGTTTGAAGTCATATTTCAACTTTCTTCCTGGTATCTGGTGAACTTGCTTGCCATCAGCCAAGGAAAATAAAAATGCATGGTTCTTATTTCTTAGAATTTCCGCTTAATTTGCTAAAGCAGCAGGAAAAATTGTCTATTTTTGTTTTTTACCTTCCATAATTTGATGCAAAGATCATTAGACAGTGACTAATCATAGTTGGTAACAGTCAGGAACATATTAATGGACTGAATATGAGAATATTAAAATAAGGCAATAGACCTTACCACAGTTTTATCAGGTAGCTTATGATATCACCAGGTAATACCAGATAATGGCCAGTTCATACTGTTGTTTTTTATTTTGTTAGTATTTACCAGATACAACTGGGACTTCAACTTTGTTTGGCCAACCAAAACAAGTGATTATGCTGGTAGAGTTATGCTCACATCATACTACATATTTTAAAATAAAATATTGTTTCTGTTAATGTCCTTTTTTTTTTTCTTTAGAGATATTCTAGAGCATTGTCTACATTTTCTTGTTTGGCTTCTTATTTTATGCGTACTTGGTTTTGCTTCATTGCTATATTAGTTTGTAACACCACTTCAATCTCCACGTAGAACAGCGAGTCACAACTGCACTATTGTAAACCATCTCTAACTTGTATAAATATTAGTTTATATGCATGTTTTGTTTAACATTTGGTTAATGTTAGCTAGTACACTCTAGATGAATGTAATCTAGGTGATTTTAGGTAGAAGAGCAATGCAACCACTTAATGGCTGCACATGGTGGTTGTTGGTGAATGTTTTCTTTAACTGTATCAATACATAGCTTTTGTTATGATTTCCCTTCAGATTAGTAAGAGCAGGTGGATGATGATAGAAAGAATCTGGATCTTTGCTAAAACTGTTATAGTGCATGTATGCATGGGGAGGGACTTCAGTACATCCTGTGTGCTGATATTTTAGTCTGGCGTTGGTACAGAGCAGTAAGAACTGTATTTCTGCTAGCAGCAAGTTATTCTGAAAGTATAGCTGGGTTGTTAAAAAGCTTTTTAAAATGTGTGGAGTGTTACTTATGAGTTTCATAGCATTTAAATTGTAATTGTAAGGGAAACGATTGGTGCCTTAATTTGTGTTCTTCCAACTACAAAAATCTGAGATCTAGCAGCTTGTCAAAATGACAGTTGCTATAATGAAGTAATACTTTTTATTCAAGTTGCATTGTGAAACCAAAGCACTGAAACTGTGTGAAGGATGTACCAGGTTGATTCAGTAACTGACAAGCGTTCACTAGCCATTGTGGATGTGTAACTATTAGTGTGAATCCATTTTGTTTGAGCTTTACATTTAGACACCAAGATGTGTTTAGCCAATGATACTTTTCATCTTTGACTATTTGTGACCTTAAAAGCCGGAGGGGTATTTTTAGTTATGAAAATTCAAGGATAATAATTTTTGGATTCCAAATTTCAGATAATGAGAGCACGTGTCTGTCCTTCAAAAGCAGAACATACTGGTCACAACAGTGATTGAGGTCCAAAATTCAAATAAGGCTTGTTTCTTTTTTTTTTTTTTAAGCAAACTAACAAAGCACCCAACAACCAAAAAGGCACCTAACATTGCTACACATCTCTGCAAAGGTTCCCTAACTGCTGTAATTGTGGTTGTGCATGTGCCCAGAACCGATGGCTCTGAACAAGTAGTTCAAATAGGACAAGCCGGTCCTGTGTCTTAATCCAGGAAGACTCAAAAAAGACTCTGTATGTGTATGTCCTGAATGGTTTGATTCAGTTAGCATGCTCTGACCTTTAGGGTAAGTAGGACTGGTTATTCCTCTGGCGATTGCGTTTGAAGAAGAGAAGAGTAAGTGCTGGTTGCTTCCAGGCATTAGTTGCCAGTCATCAGGAAAGGATTCCGGACCTGCAGCCTGACTGGGGCAGTGAAACTCAGTTTTCACATATACTTCTGTTTGCCATTTTCTATTGCCTACTCGTAAGTGACTCCCAACAGTGCAGGTTTTTGAATCAATCATCTGAGGTGTTTCTTTCCTCTCATGTAAGGAATCTAGACACTTAACTCTAAGTGGCATCCAGTATGTCTTTTCATCCCAACAGAACTAGTACATTCAGTGGATACCTTCGAAAGCGCATCAGCAGCTATTCTTACTCTTAGGAGACTTCTGCATTTTACTGTTTTCCTTTTGAATAAAAAGCCTGAAGTTGAATCCATTTTTCATATGCAAAATAGCAAACTGAACGCTGTGGTTTGTTTGTGCTGTAAAGAGGCATCTGTTTAAACTTAATCAGCAGCAGCATGCAAGAGCATCCCACGTTCTGACACGGTCTAGTCTGTCTCCATTTCTAGATCTCTAAAATGCGTTGACTTCTGGTTCTGTCCGCCCTCCTAGATTTGTCAGGCTGGTGAGCAAATGCCAAGTACTGTAATAAATGTAGTTTTCTGTATGTGTTTTAGGCACCTTCTTTACAAGAACTTATAAAGTGCTTCTGTAACTGTTTCACACTACACAATTAGCAGAATCTGGTAAAGATTTGGAAGTGGCTTTTGACCTGAACATGAAGATTTCAGTCTCCTGATGGTGTTAAAATATTTTCAGGTTTAAGCAATGTTTATGAAGATGACAGCTTTCTGGAACTGCAATTTTACAAAAAAGAAAGTCAATTGTTGTTGTAGGCAAAATCACTTAAACTTTGCCTTTCACATAAAATGTGGAGGAGAGAGGAAATAAGCCTACAGAGAGCCTGCCTCTAATAAAAATCCCTCTCGTCTCTGCAAACTTGCTGTAACTTACTAAACTCTGCTTCTTAATGTATCTCGTGTATATACATAGATATCTGTGCCTACATGTTTGTATAGTTCCAAGTTACAGATACTGGGGAACTTTTTCATTTCCACTAGGTTGTTGCAAATTTCCGTTGTTGCATTTTACTAGGCAGCTTGCTGTCGTTATACTTGGTGTCATTCACCAGGTACGAGCTTCCAAAATCTGTGATGATGACTTTATCGTTTTACATATTCTACATGTAATATTTTAATATGTATTTTTACCTTCTGAGCTTTTCTGAGGAGAAATACTTACTTTTTTCCCAACTTACCTTTCAAAATAGGTGAAGTAAGTATCTTTCTATGAACAAATGTTTTTGTTACTCTCTTTGAGATTCATTGTTATGCAAATTGTCTTGAATATAAAATTACTATAAATCACATTTTGTAGAAACTGATGAATTGGCTTATTAGCATAGTATTTCCATAATTTGCTATACGGAGAAGATTTCCCTTCTAAGTGTTTTAGGCAAAGGTGAAATGAGATAATGAGCTTTTACTGACAAATTTGGGGATTTGAAATGTCTTGGTTTTACTTAACATGTTTAGGTGTATATCTGTAGGGATGGACATAAGAAAGCCAAAAGAGAGAGTTAAGAACAGTCTTACAACAGTGTGTTGTACATAAGGATTCTGTCCATAGATAAAAGTATTACTGAGAACTTTAATTTTATATAACTGGTTAGATTAATTCTGCTGTTGTGCAAGATGGAAATCTTAAATAGACTTTTTGTTCAAAACAGACACATTACCATACAAGAATCTGGAATGTCAAATGATACTGAAAATTCCTGTGATTGGGTGCTAAAAGGTAAGAGTCTTTGGAGATTTTTGAATGAGTAATCAAGAGAAGAAAGTAACTACAAAGATGTTCAGTGGCAAAACGTAGGCTTTCTACTTTCCACATAAAACGGGAGCTTGTCAGTTCAGTAATATCTTTTTATTGTAATAGCAATTTGTTTCCTAATGCATATAAAATTGATGTTTTTTGAAATGGTACAAACCTGAGCCTCACAGGGAACATCTACTTCTCTGTAGTACTTGTCTGTTGGTAGTACTGGGGTTTTTTGGGGGGGGGTTGGTTGTGGTTTTTTTGACATCTCTCTGATACTTTATGCAAGGAATTCTGTTAGTTGATAAGATGATAGTAAGACACTGAGTACTGTGATACTGCTTTGGAGTCTGACTCATAATCTCACTTCATTGTTCTCTTGTGTTTATCAGCGGACAGAATTTTATAATAGGTTTTTTTTCCAGGTTGTACTTTTGTTTTTTGTGGATGCTATGCCCATTCCTTTGACAAACTGTTTTGTTTTTTAAGGATGCTGTTTTTTTAGAGACGGATACTTCTGACTTAATGGTTTTTTCTTCCTATTTTAAGCAGAACAGTCCAACTAGGCAGCATCTGAATGTGATTTGTTTTGTTTTCTACAGCTTACATACAGACCTACTATGCAAGGTATGTCTGATGTGGAAGTTTCTCTTAGATAGGTTGGAGGAACAGGATTTTGACTTTGAACAGAAGTCTATTACTGACACATTGGAGAAGACACAGAGTGCTGAGACTGGTTTTGAAGGTTCTCAGTGTTTCCCTTTCTGGTGTCAGTTTGTCAGCTTGCTGTTAATCTGGCACTCTGCCGTTATGTATTGATTTTGCTGCAGACTTGAAAAGTGTCTGTGACAGTATCTCTTGTGCTGTTTTTTCATATTAATGTGTTATGTTCATGTAGAAAGATTGAGTGGTTTGGGTAGATGCAGCCTCCTGGAGAAAAAGGAGTGAATAGTGACTATTTGCGGGAGAGAAAGTTTCAGGCTTCAGTGATTAGAAGGCAAAATAAAAGGTAATGAGGGTTTAAGAGCTCAGACACTATGAAATAGACACAAGTTCCCTGAGGAGGAGTAGGGAGGAAGTACACAGTTAGGCCTCTGGTGATGTAAAGAGCCAGAGGGGCCTGTGCCATGGCATCTGCAGTACTGACGTGATTGAAAGCAAACCTGGCAGCAGGTCCTGTACTATTTAGTAACTTCTGCATTTTCTTAGGCAGTTGTTTTACTTCATGTTCTAATGAAGTTTGAGGCTAAAAGTCTTTGGGTCTTTTTGTGGTGCTTAAAATAAAAAGTTTTAAGTAGATCCTTCTTCCCAGATCTGAGAAACTGAGGATCACATCACACTCTTAGATTAATATGCACATGGTAACTTATGTTTGATGTATGACTTTTTAAAAAGACCTGTACAGAACAAAAGAAAGGTGCCTGGTTTTGCTGATTACTGACAACTTAGGTATTTGTTTAGAAATACATATTACTGCTTTGGTGTCTTATGTAGTGAGGTCATGGCTGCTTGTCTCAGTGGCTTCACAGTCTAAGAAGGGCAACAAATACTACAGTGAAGGTATTCTGGATGACATCAATCCTTTTCATCCTTCAAGTGGAAATCCTATGTACATTGTCTTCAAGCAGATGTGTCTTGTACTGATGATCATACAGAGACCAGTGACTATAGGATAAAAGCCTTTCCAATAATAATCTGATTTTTCTTCCTGTATCTGGACAACGCAGTGCAGTTGAAATTAATTCATGTGATCCAATGAAACAGTGAATTTCTTTTCTGTGCAGAGTTCTTCTATTGTGCATAAACAGCTGCTTCAGAAAGCTGCAGTCAGGTGTTCTGTTCATTTCCTGTGGCATCTGCAAAAGGTGCTGAAATTTCCTGACACTGAATTCTCATTGAGTTTACTGTGTTACAGGAATTTGGAGTTTCTCAGAGCTATCTATATTTAGTTCAGGATTGCATCATGTCATTATGATTAACTTATCCCCTTCTCCAGCAAAGACTAAGTCTTTATTTGCTTAGCAAATTACCATACATGTCTTCGGCTGTGTTTTAATAACAAAGCTTAACTGAATTTATTTCTAAAATATTTAATTCAATATTATATAAATAATCCTGTTGTACTGTTCTACAGGGACTATTACACAACGTACAGCTTGGATAGAATTCTAATTGCAGATTAAGTTTAATATTTATTTGAAATGGTTTGTGCTTTAAAGGTGAAATAATTTTACATATAAATTTCACATTTAGGAAGTCCTGGGAGTTCTTAAATGTCATTACTATTAAGGCTTTGTAATATTTAGGACATAAAAGCTTTGTTGTCGTGTAGCATGGGAAACACATAAAGTAATGTGTTTATATATTTTCAGCTAAAGATAGTAAAACCCACAACTCCTCCAAAGGAAGCAGTCCTTTGGGAGGTGTTACTGAGGACTTTCTTGAAGATGGGCAACTGAGGGATCTAGATGAACTTTTAAAGAGTTTTGACGTGGACGAAAAGGTACTGAGAAATCATGCTTTCTGTCACTAAATAGTTTAAGAAATGATAGTCTATGTAATTGGATAATTTTAATTACTAATGCTGTTTTATCAACAAAATTTTTAATTTCCTGTAATAAAAAGAATATCAGTGTTTCATAGATTACTGTGCTATTGCCAATGTAAGTTTTGCTTGACAGAACTTGTTTTTTTACCTTGTCACTAATAATTCATCTTGAAATTCAAAATGAAACAAGATATCATTATATCAGTTTACAGTAATTCTGTATTACCGTTGTATGAAAATTACTGTTCCAGTGAACACCTAAGAGTACTACTGTGCATATGTGACATTTTTACATAACATACCTAGTTTTAAAAGTTGGTGTTAAATGCTTCTCACCACACGGTCTCAGAAGGATGGGGTGGTGTTGGAAAGCTGGGGAGCTGCACAGCCATCATGCATCCAAGGAGGATCATTCTGTGTCTCATTACTTGGGCAGAAGGGCCATTACATTAACATACTGACTTCCTGGCAGTTCAGAGGGAACGTGAAGCCATTTTCGTGCTCACTGACCTTATCTGACCTTTCTATTCTCTCTGTCCTCCTTCCTCTAGATAATAAGTCTAAGTCTTTTAAGACTTGCTGAAGTTTTATACTATTTACTGCTTTGATAATGGATTGGAATTTACATCTCACTGCCACTCAGACATAGCTGCTGATAGCATTTACTTGTTTTCCACTACTTCAAGAGTGGATAATGGTTTTAACTGGTTAAGTTAAACTGTAAAATTCACATGGCTAAAAACTGGTAAGTAATTGATAAGGTAATCAAACAGTAGGGAATCGGTTTCCCTGGCAAAATCATTATTTAAAAGCACATACAAACATTTCCTTCAGCAAATGGAAATGGGGCTGCTAACATTTGATTCACAAAGTGAACAGTGCCATTTTGTTCCCTGACTTCTCAGAGAGGGTAAAAGGGTCTGTCAAATAGTATAGGTTACTGGAGGTGTAGTACTTGTTGCAGTACTGCCAGGTCAGTCCCAGTTGGGCTACTTCATAGTGTGGTGGCTTTATAAAATCAGTGTCCTAATGTTTGCTTTTCTGTGCTGTGTTGGACAACAGTAAGTATGTACAACTAATCTCACCTAAACCTCAAACTTAACCAAACTTAAGCCACAAAATACATGCTACGGCCCTAAACTTATTCCTGTATGTGGATGGAAAACTAGCTGTGCAGACGTGGGGAGGGAGTGGAATGACAGAACATTTGTTGCAAGTATTCTACCGTTTGGGGTAATTTTGGGTTTTGGTTTTTTGATGGCTTTTCCAACTAATAATGCTGTGAGAATCACGGAGAAAACCCTAAAAATATTTGGGGAACTGGTAAAATGAAGTTTGGAAATCCGATGAGAGCATATCCATCTCTAATTCTTTGGCTATCATAAATTTGTGATATAATGTGAAGTTCAAGTTACTTCATGAAAATGGACAAAACAAAGCCAGGATTCCATGAGGTTGTTCTGTATCAGTCCTTTCAGATTCTCGCCCCCAAATATGTTAGGTGCTGTCTTTTTTCTCTCCATATCTTTGGGGATTTTTTACCTATACATCATGGTGCACAGCTGAGCAAAAGCCTTAGATTTCTCCCCAATACAGCTTTAAATTTTCATTAAACTTGATGGAATGTCTTTTGTGGGTTTCTACACATCTGTCAGGTACAGTTAAAATTGGGCAGTGGGCCTAAAAATTGCTGGGATTATCAGTGGGAGCAAAGAGAAGTGAAGACAATCATGTCACTTTTTTTCCAATTAAAAAACCACTATTTTAAAGATCACAGAGTATAATGGCAGTGTGTCCATTTAAAAAGATGGTGTAAGAGTAACCCTATAGTCCAAATTACAGTTTTTACAGTCAAGACTATATTATCACACCTTCCAACGATCACTAACAGTTTTAAGTCTAGTGTAAAGCGTAACAGGCTTAGTGCTTTGCTGTATCTGAAAGTACACTTTAAATATCTTCACAGTTCAGGTTTGCAGATGGAGTGCCTGATGTTAAACAAGAAAAAAAGGGTGGAGCTGAAAAAAGGTATATATACTGTGTTCTTCATGTAACCTGTGACGTTCCCCAGTTACTGTACAAATGAAATGTGATGTTTTTACCAAAACACCATTAGCATTTTAATTCACTTTTTCTATGTTATTGTGACTATGTGATGAAGAAAATAAATACGTGAAATAATATAATTTCACTGCAAAGTACAAGACAAGTATCGTCATAGCCTGACAGGACAATAGAGGTTATTTTGTCCTCTGTCTGGTGACGAAATATATCTACTTTATGCCAGTGTCTCACCTTGGCATCTCAATGTGAGTGTAGCGTAAGATACATTTCCAGCCACAATAGCACTTACCAGAACTTTAAAAAAAAAACAAAAAAACCAGTGAAACTTCCACCTTTCTTTTCTGCCTCTTGGGACTTTCTAAACTGATGAAAGAATTGAAAGATCTCATTCAAATTCAGGCTGACAAATATTTGAACAGCAGTAGAAAAAGGCGCTTAAAAATATGGCATGTGGAGTTAAGCACGTGCTTTACTGTTCTGCTAGCTTCAAGCTGTGCTTACAGTGTTTATTGTACATATGACTGAAAGTGTCAGACTAAGAAACTTCCATTCAACATCAGTCCAAAAATGAAGCAGAATAAGACTTTGTAGAAAAAGTATACTTAACTGATGGAATACTTCAGTAATTAGAAGAGAAATAACAGATATTTCAGAGTCATTTTCACAATAATCAAGAAACCTTAGCTGGCATAGAAGAGGGTATTGCTTTTTTCCAGCACCAGTCACATTTCCGTGACAGACTTGAAGTATACTAGAAGTCCGTTAAATGGAGAATATTGCATCTGTTCATTAATCCACTAGAGAGCTCCAAGCTCCTCCTTCTGGTAAAATACCCATTTAAATTTACCTTAGTAGCATAAATAGTTCTTTATGCTATAGAATAAGTAGGTTATGCTGGATAAAATATGTTTGTGCAAGTGATACTGCATTACTTCACTTCCTTGATTGAAATGCACTCTGTGTGGTTAGAGAAGAGGCATTTATTCCTTCATTTGGAGTCAAACTATTTTCTCTAGTTTTACTCAAAAACGTTACCATCGCAAAGTTTCATCCAGAAGAAAACGTAGTTACTGTTCTTATTTAGTAAACTCCACTTCTAGTGATGCTGTTATTTAAAAAAAGAAATTGATTGTAGACATATATAGTTCACAGTTCCTGGCAAAATTGTGTGTAGTTTCAGGTCTAGATTAAAAAGAGAGCTGAGATTGTTATCCTGAAGGTGAGCTGCTATGAAAATCCTGTTGTGTCAGATCTGAGGCTGGCATCACAAGGAAGCATAAAAAAAATTTTACATGGTAACTTGAAAATTCTGAGTAAATAGATATGCAGATTTTTTTCCTCTGGAGACCAATACAATACATTGACTAGAATAAAAATAAAGATTGATATTGAAGAATTTGGGTTTATTAGATAGAATCTATTCTTCTCTGCCATAGCATTTTTATTTCAAACTCTATTAAAAGCAGTCTGCAATTTAGGAAAGATTTAAATTATCCTGGCTATAAGAAGTATTAAATAGCTAAAACGTGCCCCACATAGGGGATAGCAAGTCTATTTCTGTCTCCAAACAGCAAGCAGGCTGAAATGTCCTTTGTACTGTACCTAGATTCTTAATTGAAGGGGGGAGGGGAGGAAGATCTCATGAAAGGGGATTATTTTTTTCTGTGGCTTTATTTACAAATAAGAAAGAGATCACTAAGTATTCTGCGAGCAATATTTGTAGCTTATTTTGGTAAACATCACATTTTAGTTTAATTATCTGGAATGTACATCTTTGGGAATAGTTAAAGGCAGAACAGTCTTTAATTGGAGTTCCCTTTGAAATCACCTACATCTGTCGATTAGAGTCAGTTATTAGGAAGGAAAACAGTTGGCTCTTCAAATGTAATTTCAAAAGCTTTGTAGATTACTTCTTTGGCATATATTACATAACAGACTACTGAAAAGTAGATGTTCTTCAGAGGTGACAGAAATCATCTCAGTCTTCCTGTCAGCATAGTGAAAAAAAAGAAGTGGTTCATGGGTGCCTTTTCTACTTATTTGTTGAATTTCATATAGTTACACTTTAGGACAGAATAATCTCCGCTAAGATCATAATCAGATTGGACCAGGAGAGTAATGAAAGTAAAGTTGTTGGGATGCTAGCTATTTAAATTTACAGCAAGTTTTTAAGTGGTGTGTAAATTGTTGAAGAAGTTCTCATCTTTTATACACTTAATCCCTCCTTTTAGGCGTTTAGTATATGGGAAAAGCACCTGTTTAATTTGGTTAAACAAATTTTTGTTTTTTAATACTCAACAGTGACTGTAAATACAAAGATCTTGTGAACTGTGAATTGCTATCAGGATTGCCATTGCATGCCCCGAAAGTAAATGTCCTACTCAATGAAGCTACAGTGATGAAACCCCAGACAAATGGTATCGTATGCTGTATTGGTGAACCCTCCAGAATTTATTTTTACATGTGTTTTATTTAGCTATAAAATCTTAAGGAGTTTCTTCAATTCCTGAAGGCATTGGCTGGAATTTGTTTTAGTTTGCATACATAGAAGCAAAAATGCAAGCTCTCATATGATAGGTTAGTGAGGTTTTTTGGGTTGGGTTGGGTTTTTTAGCAGAATCCTATTCAGTAGGGTCAAATAGCAATCATCCTATCTTGGTATTTATGGTTCTCAGATACTTTAATGGTACAGCAATGCCTGCATTCTTAGTGTTTTGACACATTATGTTTGAGCCATGTTATTGGCAAGTAACTTGTTTATTTGTGGTCAGAGAACGTGACTATAGATTTTCTTGGTTGGTTGTTATCTGTCAGCAAAACTTGGCTAAGGGATTTGCCCATGTTGCTGAAGGTCAGAACTTTGTTATTTATGCCAATTCAAATGTTTGTGA